CTTATAAATGATATATATTTTCTTCACACTTCGTCTGATATGTTTTATCTTTGAAGAATACTAACTTTTGCTTAAAAAAAATCTTTTGTTTGTCATTATTAAAACTTAAAGGATCATTTGTTGTCTAAAAATAAGATTTTTGATTTAACACTAATCCATATACCTAGGCCTAATTGGTCCATATGATATATTTTTCCACCATAGTAATCGCTAGAATTACAAAGTCCTCAAAATGCATGGAGCTCTCTATGCTATAAGGTCATCATCCACTCTATTTGCATTTGGATAAATATGACAAAAAGACACCTCTCATGAGAAATAAAGAAGATAATTAATTTAGTAAATAAATCTCCTTAGGTAAATGCAAGTCAACCTCGGTATTCATGGGTTATTAATGATATGAAATACATTAAAGTAATTTGTCTCACAATAGGCACAATTATAATTTAGCACCCATGTGTAAGTGATGTATATTGAATGTAGTTATGCAGGTACTTTTATTCTGTTACAAGTTTGTTATGCAAAATAGTAGTATAAATATATACTAGAACTCTCTCTATAAACACTAGTCTATTCATTATTTTATCAATAATATCTTTTTTTCTCTATTCTCCTCTACTCTTCTCTATAACTTGACATGGTATTAGAGCTTGACAATCTACAATGGTTGATACCAACAATTCTTCCTCTCAAAATCCACATTCTTATGCAATTATCACATTTTTGCATTTGATCTCCATGAAACTTGATGATTCCAATTTTGTTCTTTGGCTACAACAAATAGAACCATTCCTTAAGGCACACCGTCTTCAACACTTTGTTGTGTGCCCTAAAATTCCTCTTCATTTATCTATGAACAAGATTGACAAGGTGAAACTGTGAATCCAAAGTATATCACATAGGAACAACAAGATCAAATGGTTCTTTTGTGGCTTTAATTGTCACTTTCAAACTCTATTCTCTCTCACATTCTCTGAAATATTCATGTGTATCAGATTTGGAACAAAATTCATGAATACTTCCACAAACAAACTCAACTACAAGCGTGAAAACTCAAAATAGAGTCATGATCAACGATGCTTGAAGATCAATTGGTGAAAAAGTATATTCTTTGCATAAAAGCTCTTGCAAATTATTTTGCCTATGTTAAAGATCTAGTGTCAGTTCAAGAGCATACTAAATATCTTCTTTCTCATTTCTCTCTCTTTGTTCTCCTCTACTTCTCCCTACAACTTAACACTATGCATAAGGAATATCATTTTTACCTACCATCAACTATGCAAGAAGGAAGCTTCTAGGACCATAAAATTTGTGAAGCCAAATATCCATTCACCTTGGGAACCTTTAATCACACCTTTGCAATCCATGGCATTATGAGTTAACTGTGAACCATCAATATTTTATTTCACAAAGAGCTAACAGGAGGGGGACCAAGAATTTGTAGGTATTCTAGGTATCCTAGTACAATAAAGTTCAATTCAATAATAATATGTTGTATCAATTGGTACACATAATTAATATTCCACTTTTCACCTAAAAAAACTCTTATTACTCTACTTCCAAAGACATTAGATCGTTGCAAGAGTAAAGGAAGCATCTTTATGTGACATAACAACTAATAACCAGGCTTCATTATTCTAATAGGTTAGTAGTATACTCTTGGATTTAACTCTCATACATGGGGCGTGGATAGTCCCTTAAAGCATGAAGCATAGCTTCCTCTTGAGCATAAAATCTCATATAGGAAGCATTTGGGAAATATGACTAGCAAAATGTTTGTTATTGGTTGGTAAAGTTGCTTGTAAAGCTTGCCAAATAAAGAAAAAGCATTTTTTTAGGAGTTGCAATATGCCAAATGTTTTTTCAAATTGGGTTTGCAGTAGTAGGATGTCATAGGTACCAACTATATGTCGATAAGGTTGTATAGATGCCTCGAGTCCTTAACTATTGCCAAGTTAGGTGATAACTTTATTACCAATTGGAATTTGAGTAATAAGTACTCCATTAATAAAATCAAGCACTCTTTGTAAGAGGTGTGTAAAGTTGGAGTAAATTCCTATTTCCCTATTGCCAAATATCTTAATGCACAAATGGAACCTCATGGTGTATAGGACCCATACCTGACCAATTTGAAAGCCAAAAATTGGATTTCTTGAGCTAAGTCAAGGTCCAAAGCTTGTTCATAATTCATTCACACTCTAACAATGCTTATCCAAACATAAAAGGCATTGTAAGTGATGAAAAGATTCAAGATTGTTCCATTTTGGAGATATTTATGCGATAGGATTTGAACCCAATGTTTGTCTATGTTATGAAGAAAGTTCCAAATTAACTTACTCAATAGAGATACATTTGTTGCTTGTTAATTACATGCCCAAATCTCTAGAAGCTTTGGGTTTGGTGATGTCTCCCCAACTAACCAAATTCCAAGATTGAGAGGCAACCATTTTACACCATAACATGGATTTACATAACTGATATATGGAATTGGAACCTCCATATGGAAACCAAAAAAGTTACATAATGTAAGTAAGTATTGAGTAAGTACTAATTTAGTAAGACATAAGTTCCTTACTTTATCAAAAAATTTACTCTTCCAGAAAGCAAGGCGACCTTGGATTTTTGAAACCACATGATGGAAGTCTGCCTTAGTTACATTCTTTGTTAAAAGAAGACAACTAAGGTAATTTTAATGCCAAGTGAAAGTCTAATGCCCAGGACACCTACCAACACATCCTTACAAGTCTTAGATACACCTTTAGAGTAATTACATTTTGACAAAGCAAGATTAACCTTGAGACTTGATTTAATACAAAAAGATCAAATGTCAAAGAGACCACTTGCATTTGGTCCTTAGTGGATTTACAAAATAACAAAATATCATCAACAAACAAAAGGTGGGACAAAGATGGACCACCTCTAGAGATTAAAGTAGGAAGCCACTCAAAGAGATATGGTGAAAGTAGATCCCTTTGGTGGAAGGGAAGAAAATGATCCAACTTAAAACCATTTCAACAGATAAAAAGGAAAGTACCTCTCACTCCTCACATAATAATGTTGACAATCCAAACATGAAACCTGAAATCAAGAAGGTTTCTTTGTAGGAAATCCCAATTAACCTTATCATAAACCTTTTCAACATCCACTTTGATTGTTGATGGAGGACCATCCTTGAAGACACATGTGGGCCCCATCACTAGGTCCATGGCTAGGAGAGTTGAAGAGGAGGAGGGAGTTCACACACCAAGGGACACTCTCCTCATGATCATAGAGTATTAATTCTCTCCTAAGCCTCATTAGTATAGGGTTTATTTTATTTGCCAATTTTACCCTTGTATTTTGGGGTGTTTAGGACTTAGAATTTATTTTTCCTTGTATTTCCCATTTTACCCTTGTATTATGGGGTGCTCTAGATAATTAGGTTTTTAATTTGGGCTAGGGTGTTACATTAGAAGGGTGACGCATTTTTTGGTGTTCATTAGATCTATTTTTGGTGTTAGAAAGGCTTAGGCCCAAGTGGAGGGCAAAGGTTGCATGGTCTTATCATGCACCTAGATATAGCCAATCTAAACCCAAAGATTCCATCCTTGGCCACCAAGTTGCATCTAGGGTTCATTTGCATTTCATTTAGAGTGCATTTGCCTTATGAAATGCAACCCTAGATGCCTCCCCTCCTATAAATACCCAATGCTCCACACCTTGTAAATACTTTGGATTATATGAATTTGAGAGAGCATTTCTTTGCCTCAAATCCTATCCTTAGTCCCTAGGTTAGTTCGGCTAGCCCCCTTCATTCTCCACCCTTGGAGAGTGAAACCCCAGAGTGGCCTCCACCTTCACTTGGAGTAAGCCAACCTTGAGCAACCATACACCATCCTTCACCCTTCATCATCTTGACGTCCCAAAACCATCTTCCCCTAAACATCCACGTAATCTCTTCCCTCCGGTGAGCCTAAGATCTTTGGGCAAGGATTCCCTCTTCAAGAGTCAAAATCATCCATGGAAGGGAGGATCCTATCAATTGTTGTCAATCTTCTCCTTCCTCTTACTTTATGAATATGATGAAGGAGCTCTTAGGCAAGGATAAAATTATCCCTTGTACCTCTTTCAAGAATAGAGCTACTTTGAAAAGGTCCAATATATCATTCAAGTAATGTTGAATTCTATTCACCAAAACTTTAATTGTAACTTTGTAAGTTACATTGCAAAAACTAATTGGGCAAAGTTCCTTCAAGTTTGTAGGATCATCTACCTTTGGGATGAGAGTGATAAGAGTCTAGAATCAACTACTCAATGTTGAAAGTATTCCTAAACATTAGTTAAAGATCATTTCCCAACAAATGTCAATATTATTAAATGTGAAAGAACAACTAAGAATGAATGTGAGCAATTTTGGGTAATTAATTAAAGGATGTAATAAAAACTAAATAAAAAATATTTTAAAAATTATGGGGTAAAATGATTAACAAAAGGTGTACACTAAAAAGGTATATTACTTTTATTAATCTATATAAATATAAATTATAAATACATATTATAGATTAAGAATTATAAATTAACATATAGATATAAATTATAAATTAAGTGGATCAAATACGTTTTTAGTTCATAAGCTATTGTCAAATATTTTTTTAGTTCTTGAAAGTTTTTTTATGAACAAAATATTTTTATGCTAGGGACCAAAATATTAATGAAAGAAAAGATTCAATAATTAAAAGTGAAAATTGATAAAAAAAATTTAGAAAAATTAATTAAAAACAGAGATTATAAATAAAAATTGACAAAAATTCAAAAAATAAAAACATGTTTAATCTATTATAAATTACTATTTTTTTTTAGTAGAAATACAAATTATGGATATTGATAAATGTAAAAAAAAAAAAATCTAAATGTCTCCAAGTAATAAATAGAAATGGAATTAATTAAAGATTTGTGATAGTGGTGGAATTGTAGAAAGCGAACCGTACAAAGAAGATAACGCGGTGACCCTTTTTGTCTGTTCACATTAAAGAAGGAAAGGAGGATGAGAGAAGATTTGGGGAAGGAAATATTTATTATCACCAAATTTTGTTCCCTGCAAGAGAAGAGAGAGAAGTTGTTGGGTTGGGTTGGATTATCTACCTTTTTCCTATGCTTATAAGGCACAAATCCTTCTCCCTCCCCTCTTCTTCCTTCTTCTCCTGACCCTTTTTATTCCTTTCCTTTACCCAGGGAAGGAAACAAAGAGGAACACCTATATTCTTATTCATATTTCTGTAATTATTTATATTATACTTATAACTTTTATTATTGTTCCTCATCCATGGATTCGTCTTGTCTCTCCAACGATTTAGTTTCTGGATTCAAAGACAAGGAGTCAATGGTTGACCCCTTTTTGGTCGAGGCTCTCCAGAACCCTCGTCACCGCCTCACCAGTTAGTTTCTTCTTTCTGTTTTTTTGTTTGTAGAATTTTTCTTTCTGGGCTGGGCTTATTTTTATTGTTTCGATGTTTTGGCGTTGCGGGTATGCTTCAAAATCCTTGCTTGAGCTCGATTTCGCTTTGACCCCTTTGTTTCTTTTTAATTGAATTGTTTCGTTGTATGGGTTTTTCGTGCGGGTTTTGGATAAGAATCATTGTGTTTTTGTTTTTTTGGTTATATTTAGGTTAATTGAGGTCAGATCTGGAATGGTTGTGGTTATTCCCTGCTTAATTGTGGGAATTAGAGGTTGAGTCTTTGATTTTGATGTTTGGCGTTGAGCTTGTTCTTTGGGGGAATGAGATAAATAAATTGGATGGTGATTGGGGGGCTTTATTGAAAATATGCTTATTGAAAATTTTTACCGTAGGCTTGCTTAAGATAACATCATCCTTCAATGGATAAAACATGGGTATGTTTCAGCCATGTAAAATTTTAAAGGATTGACTTGGGATGATAAAGTGAAGAACCTGAATTTCCGAAATTCATAAAATGTATTTCAGTGTAGCAGTTTTATGCTTTGGATTCTCAAAACCATGGCATCTGTCTGTGTTTCTCCGTGCAAAACCTTGCCTGGAAATAGGATTTAAGCTATATTCTGCTGGAATAGGTCATAAACTTATTGGTAGTAATTTTAAATTGTCAAGGATCCATCTATTAAATCAAGTCTTCTATTCCCCTTTTATTGATTATAAATCACGCTTTCCTGTCTCTTAGTGGATATGTCTACGCTTCTCCGTGCAAAACCTTGTATGGAAGTAGGATTTAAGGTACACTGTGCTGGATTAGGTCATGAACTTATTGGTGGCAATTTTAAATTGTCAAGGTTCCATCTCAATGCAAGAATTAAATCATTTGCAGAAGCCCGAGCTCCAGAAATTTGTTATACAAGAGGGTTGGAAACTTCATGACAAAATAAATGTAGCTCGACATTGAGTTACTTAGTTCCCAGTAATATACATCTTATATCTTATTTTCAGCCCTCTAGCTAAGATACTATCTGAATCTGTGTATCTTACCGTTATTGTGTTTCTTCTTGGTTTTACCATTTAGATGGGATTGTTGAAGAGTTGCTTGCTTGGATCAAAATTTATGCGTCATAAACTTAAAGTAGTAGTAGTTCTTATGTGGTGGATGGCAGTCATATAGGAGTTTTCTAGCAAATGAGCTATTATTTGATGATTATGTTGTTCTTGTAATTTTTCTCGGTTATTGTGAATCATGACATTTTTTTTATTTATTATTTTCTACTTTGTTTTTTATCTTTAGTTTTGCGGATGGAGCTTGACATCCAGAGGTTTATGAATAATGCTGACCAGCAGCATTTTGAATTTCCACATTTCCCCTCTTCCTATCTCCGGCTAGCTGCACATCGTGTTGCTCAACACTACAATATGCAAACAATGGTTCAAGATAATAGCATAGACGGCCAGGGAAGTAAAATTCTGGTGAGAAAGTTACCAGAAAGCAAGTATCCTGTGATTCGATTATCCGAAATACCTGCAAAGCAGTTGGAAAATGATAGATCTGAGCAGAAAAAAATTGTTATTAGACCTAGACCTAATAAAACTAGTTTGAATGAAGGCAACGGTGTTGGGATGAAAGGAAATCCTGTAAGAAGCGTGGAAGAGAGGAAGGAAGAATATGACCGGGCACGGGCACGTATCTTTAGTAGCTCTAGAAGCTTTGACTCAGGTGATACCTCATCCATGGTTCCAGTGGATGGTAGAAATTCTTTTACTAGCAAGGATGAAAGTGAAACTAGCAAGCAACCTGTGGTTGATTCTGAAAGAAACATTAGTGTAAGGGATAATTGTGCTACTCGAGTTGCCATATTCAGGGATAGGGAAAAGGATCGTAGTGATCCAGATTATGACCGTAATTATGGAAGGTGAGTTGTATCACTGTGCCCTGTAATTTAATTAAGAACTTTAGAAATTGAATGTCATAATTGCAAATGTATGCTTGTATTTGTATCTGAATATAAAAGATTAAAAGCTGTTTTTGAGAGAGATAGTGTGCGGGAGGGTTCAAGAGTGAAGACTGAAAAATGTCATTTCTGTTATTTTAGATACATTTGATGGCACTCTGAATTCAAGAATTTATATAACTTGTAATTTGATGTTTAGAGATGTCTTTTGTTTCTTCAAAAATTTTCGTTATTTGGCAGTTGATGCAATTTGTATCAATTTAATTTGTATATGTTTATCAGAGTGTATTACGTTATTGATGCAGGTATGCTAGGAGTATTCCAACATCTGCTGTTAACATGGTGCCATTTAATTTGCAAAAAGCTCAACCTTCATTTCCTCAGTATGACGCTACATTTAATCAATTGGGTCAGATGTCACAAAATCGAGCCTCTCTTGGCTATGTACCTCCTTCAACCCCGATAATGAGTCCCTTTTGCACCACAGGATTGAATCAGACATCTGGGGATGGTGCTTACCTACAGTGGCCTAGTGCTGCTATGATGTATGCACATTCATATGACCAATTTAGACATGCTGTTTTCCAGGTAAACCACGTTTAATTTACTTCAATTATTATCCTGCTGATTTTGATGAGGTTCTTCATTAAATATAAATGAATATTACCAAGATAAAACTCTAACTTTGATTGGAGAATAACACCAACAATATTTATGATATTGTACTTAAGTTTCGTCATTTTTGTAATAGCTTCAAAAATACCAGGAAATGTTAATAAGACTTGGGCACCCCATAATACCCAAGTCCCTAACTTCCAATCACTATTCACTATGCCTTGTTTGAGTTCTACTCTCTAACAAGGATTAAAATATTTTCTTTTTCTTTTTTTACTATATCTGATTTTACTTGTTCCATCATCGTGCATCTCATGCTTTTTTGATGTTTTGCAGGCTCCATTTGGTCAACAGCCGCTGAGCTTTGACTATTCACAGAACTATTAGATGACATTTAGGGGAGAATATTTGATTTGGATGCAAAAGTTATGTTAGCCTTTTAGAGTTCATGTTAGGTTCATTTTGCAGTGCTGTCATAGACCCTTATTGTAGTATTATGTGTTTGGTTTTCAGTTTTGATGATTATAGTAAATCGTTGGGTACTTCTAATGTAACAGTTTATAAAATAGTGGATTGTAGTGCATTACGGGATTAAAAATATATATGATAAGGTTTCTGTGGTCGTTCTAAAAGTACCTTGTTTAGTTTTGGGAGGTACACGGATAAGTGCTTTTCTAATCTTTCATGAGTGTTTCAATTAATGTTGCTCATAGATGTTATATTAAAACGTGTTATTTTAAGATAAGTTGATTGTGAAGGTTTGTCAAGTGGACACATTTTAATTGATAAGTTGATTCTATTAATTATATATATATATATATATATA